GGGAACACCTTAAGGGATTAAATTATGAATGTAGATATTTCTAGGAAAGTTGAACTTGCAGATACTTTGGATAATATATAGGAAAATCGCCTACATTAATTTGGACAATTGAGTCAACAATCCGCAGATGCACCATTGAGGAAGGTAGGGTTGGAATAGTGGAGATTTCAAAAGAAATTCGGAGTGGCCAAAGATGAGTTGGATAACGGGAGTTAAATATGACATGAAGAAGGTTTGCAAGAGCTTTTTGCATTAGATAGAAGTAAATGGAGGAAAAGGATCTCTGTAGATGACCTCATGGGTGAGACTCTAGTTCATGCTAGTCTCATCCTTTTGGGAAAATATGGCTTTGGAATTGTTGCTGTTTGTAATAATTATTACTTCCTTTCAAGCATGGTCTTAAAGAAAACATATGATACTTGTATATTGTGACCTTTATGTTTTTTTCCCTCTCTATCCTCCTCTTTTCTCATTAGGGTTTTGGTCAGTTATCTTAAGCTGGAAATTGTTAGCTTTGGGAATTCTTTCTAAATATTACATTTTTTTCTTAATTCAATAAAATGCTTGATTGCTATTGCGTTAGGCTTCATGCATAGGCACACTTTTTTATTCACTGATTACCTCTACTTCTCTTTTGCTTGATCTCTATAAAGTGAAAACTGTCCAAACTAAAAAAAAAAGTATTACTGCTTTGTCTTTTTCTTACTTAATTTTTAATTTCCATTTCCATTTCCATTTTCTGGCCCTTAGGCTTAAGACAGGTTGCCATTCTCAACAATGACTTCTAATTTTCTTCCAACTACTCCTCCAAAGTACAGTACCACTATATGCAGTTTGAAGCTCCTAATTGGTCCTTATAATTTAGCTGTTCTGAATGCTTATTGCTCACAACCTGTTAACCTTAGGTTTGTAGATCTCACAGGTAGAAAATCTAGAAATTTTAAAAACTGGTGCTTAGTTTCGCATGAGGATGCATATCGATTCCAAAGGATGTGTTTTTTTTCTCCAAGCCTGCAAATGTTATAAAATATCCTGTTGTCTCCAAAACTAGTGCATGTATTATTACTATTGTTTCTCGATTTATTAATATCAGTGCTTCCAACAGGGCCGTCGCGTTAAATTTCGGGGCCCTGTTCTAAACTATAAAATGGGGCCCTAACGGAAAAAAATTATAATACTTAAATATTATTTCAAAAATAATATCATATTACAAGGATATATATATACTTCAAAAAAGAAATCTAATGTACTCAGACTATTATTTGAATAATTAACAACATCATATACAACTTCATGCTAATCTAAACCTTCAAGTTATTTAAAAAGAGCTTTTCTTCTAACACTTTTGGAAGCAAATTCATCAACCAAGTCTTCATATTGTATCTTCTCCAAAAGATCGTTTTCGATCGCTATTAATGCTAACCCATTAAGCCTTTCTTGTAGCATAGTAGATCGCAAGTACGTTTTCAACAGCTTCAATTTAGAAAAGCTTCTTTCTGCAGAAGCAATAGTCACAGGAATAGTGGATAATTAGCCGTTTGATAATAAACGAAAATCAAGAGAAGTTATGGTAAAGACTGAAAAATTAATTCTTCCATTGAAAATTGGAAGAGGAAGGTGAGATAGTTACTAATTATTTTTGGGTAAAATAAGAAGGTTAATGAGAATTTAGCATTGAATGAGATATGGAATAAAAAAAGTGATGGAAATTTCATATTCAAAGTAATGAAATTAAATTGGAGATTGGAATTTGGAAAGCTTGATATTGAAAATGGAAGGTAGTAGATTGATTGTGGTCTTGATAACGATGATGTACTGTACGTTTAATGACTGACTGACTTTTGATTTTTTTTTTATTTATTTTTATTTACTTTGGTTGGGCTTTAATTGAAAATGGGCCCCATAAAATTGGGGGCCCTGTGCAATAGGTCTGTTTGCACAGGGAGAGGGCCGGCCCTGGCTTCCAAAGTTCCAACACTTCCTAGTTCCAATAATATCGATAAAATTCCTTTACCTTGATAATCCAAACTTCTTATAGAGATTAATCTTTTGATAGCCTGAATCTTTTGTGAGAGACCAGTTAAATCTATTTGTTTCTTCAACAAAATTATTCCAAATGCTATTTGGTAGATGTATAACAAGTGCCAAGGTGGGTAGCTATTATTTAACTAAGTGTTCAAACAAAAGAGATTTGGTATATGCTGCTTTTAAGCTCCTTTTCTTCCTGAAAACTTCATTATCGTTCTTATATTGAGTTTGTTTCACTTTGTTTTAAGGTTAGGGCACCTGCTGTAGCGTGTATAAATTCCAGTGGCTACAAGCTTCATCCTTATCCATTAACGTCTCTTTCAAAAATCCTGATGATTAAGGTATAATTTGGTAAATATCTTCTGTTTATTAAAATTTTTTAGTTGTACGTTATATGAAGTAACACCGAAATTTGGATTTGGAAACCACCAAGCAAACTGGATTTTCCCATCCCAAGGGAGGATTTCAGTGCAATCTTTTCCCGTGGTTGGAGCTGCTGGAGAAGTGAGTTTCTCTGCCATTTACTTTTATCATTTCAATGCCATGTTTTCATATTGAGCTGTTCAGATGATGGTTGTTTCTTATACATTAATTTTATAAGAATCTTCAGTTAAGCACAAGGTTTGAATTCCTCTCTTCTCCTTCAGCAACCTCCTAAAGATGAGGAGGAGGAGGAGGATAAGGACGATGTGATTGGGGGGAGGGGGGGGGTATCACATACATACCTCTACTGTTCACTCACCTTGAATCCATAATACCGCATATTTACTTTTAATACTGTCTAGTACTCCCATTGTTTTTTCTTAGAAGAGGAAAATAGGACTTTTGACACTATAGGCTTTGTTGACATAAGTTATGCATCCCTATGTGCTAATCTTATATTTTCGGAAGAAGTGGCCAACTTGAAGTAAGCCTGTATCTGATGTCAATATGTGGTGTTTGTCTTAAATACAAAGAATGAGGTAATCCTGTAACTGGAAAATTCTGCTTGCAAAAGATGTCAATGTGAAATTAATTATATTGATTTTACAGGGACAATAACAATATAATAATATATGCTTTCCAGAACCTGTTTCAGCAGGATTTAAACTGGGTTGCTGTTGTAGACTGAGGATGTATATCTATACTGTTGCTGGCCACACAGGCATATTTGTCCCACATCCAATTTGCTTGTAGAAAGTACTTGTTATTTAGGATTTTCCTGTTGTGCTGTTGCAAATGAAGTTCGCTTTGAGATGCCAATAAATGGCCCAGTTTTATTGCTAATTTGCTGTAAAGGTAATAATAAATCAATCAATCATATTGTTATATGGTTAGCATTATACTATCTGATTCCCTGTGAAATTATGACCTCTTTTACTCTCCCTTAAGCTATCCTCACTTCAAAATGCGTTAGGTTTTTGCTTTGTTATCTGTTGTTAGCTAACTACCATGTTATATGAATACATGATGCACTTTTTTTTTCTTTTTCTTTTTATGCCCAACCCTATCTTTAGTATGAACATGTCTTACTAATTTTTTTCCTATTGAATGATTATTTGAATACTTGTGAGTTTCGATGAAGTGAATGATCAATCTCCTTGACTACCCTTTCATCGAAAGAAGCACGGAAACTTCTAGTATCCGAGGTCTTCCTGTTTTTGTGCTAATGAAGCCCAAAAATGGTGGGACTTGAAGCAGCCGTTTCTGTGCTACATACTCCTACTTTTAAGGAGACCTATTCCAATAATGTGCTAAAATGACTTGTGATATTTGGTATCTTATACTCCTTCCATTCTTGAAAGTTTATCCCGCTTTTCAATTTGATTCGTTTTTAAAAGTTGAACTCACTTCTACTTTAGTCTTATAATGAAAAATCCCTTTTACAATCTTACCCTCATACCCCACACTGTTTATGGCATTTTATAATCTTTCACTTGCTTTATCCACTTTTTAGTTATTCACCTACCTCTTTACCTTGTCTCTTTTACTTTATTCATTTTTTTTCCCTTACACCCATTCACTCTTTCCATGCAGTCCACATTCCTGAAAATAAGAGTCTACAATTGAAAAGTTTAACTTTCGGGAACATTCTTGGGTGATGTTTCCTCTAGTTTTATTTTGAAAAGTTTTTACCCACAACGTTCAAGTCTAATACCTTGTTTACTATTGCAGGGATGCAAGCGTTTCGATTGAAAAGTGATGTAAGAGTAGATAGTAATGCTATTGGAAAGTAAGGTGGAGGAAAGAGAAAATGAGGTGGAGGAAGAAAGAAAGGAGGGAGAAATTTTGGGCAACATCCGCAATAAGGATGCTCTAAACCCAATTACATTACCAAAGAAACTCATCTTGATGGAATATTGGATACTTTTTCAAAACTTTCAAATTTGTATTAAGTTATTATAGAAGGGAGGGACAAACAATTCTTGTAGGGGAGGTCCAACATAGTTGAGCTGGCTTTCAGTCTTCTAATTTTTTCATCTACTACAAAAGACCGGCAAAGTCCGAATTTGTAAAAGCCATGTTATTCTTTCTTTCTTAAAGGGAGGATTTCTTTGGTTTGTTACATGTTTTTGCGTCTTCAATTTCTATGGGCAGTGTTCTGTTCCTGCTAGATACATCTGATCAAAAGGAATTGAAGGTGAGATAACTTTTTAATTAGCATGACAAATAGACAAACTCATCATTAGGAGAAGGTATTTTGATTTTATATCAGTCCTTTTGAATTAAGAATCCAGAGCTAACTAGCAAGAGATGTACTGTATTTGGATCAAAATATTACCTAAAATGACATATTATGGATGGATATGAGGTAGTATAAAGCAAGCTGAGTTGCATGAGTCCAAAAATGAGTGCCTCAAAAAATGTTGCTCGTAACTAGCTTTCGTAATTTTGTAAACTACTCAGCATGACAGCATTAGCTCAGACAGTATGCCTGGAAACCAGTTCATGACTCAGAAGTGAGTCATTTTACTCCAACAAAAGGAACAGAATAACAAAATCACCGGGTGGTTATCAACTCAATTACAATTGGTAAAATTCTTTACAAGTTAAATTATTGATATCCGTTTTACAAAGAAAAGATGAAATAGCTCTTTTCGATTCAGCAAAGACGAAAGCAGAGATATGTCATGCTGAAAGCAGAGTGACGGCTACAAACATGATTAAAGCTAAATTGAAACACAATGCAACAACTGTGAAGAAAGCCTGCAGAAATTTACAAAAACACTAGTTCAGTAATTTGAGCAGCCAACATAGAAGACACAGCATAATTTAGTGATATACTAACCTTTCCCCGTGACTCAAATTTGTATCTGACTGTAAACCATGACAATCCCCTATCTACAAGTGGTGCAAGGGCAAGGGCAAGGGCACTGTAATCAAGTAAATAATGTCAGATAAATTCACATGTAAAAGGGGCAATTGTGTAGTGTATGGAATATCTAGATATCCAGGCATGCATTAAAAACATATGCAATGGGCATAAATTGCAAACCAATGCACCCATACAGAAAACACACAATGGTCCAACACTCACATCACATCTTATCTATATATCTTTTTACTTAAGAGAAGACTTTAGATCACACAAATCAATTGGCTATGGAAGGATCAACTCCCTAGGCTTATAAGGTTGTCATTTCTCTTTACTTCTACAACGTTAGACAACTCACATAAACACAACATAATTTAGCCTTTGCACCTTTTATATCCCTTCTTTCCAGTCTGATCCCTAATCCCTATCATTCTAGTTACCAACTTACCGTCAACTCTACCAGATGAACATAGAGTGATGGAAACTGGATGACACCCTGCTTTAGTTCACAAATAATATGGGTTTTGGAGAAAGGGAAATGGAAAGAGTGTTTAGCTTTACTAAATGGACCAAGCAACTACTTGGGAAGTTGTCAGTGAAAGGGAATATTAAAAGCAGCAGTTTATTAAGTATTTATTTGTCCCATTTATGAAGCTGTATTACTATAAAGTTCTTCTTAGCAACCTAAGTTACTAGTTCGTAGCTAATCATATAGCGGTAGAATTGATAGCTTACCCTGCTGCTCTTAAAGCTTAGTGACTTGGCTTCCTGCCCAAACCATGGCCATTACTTTTAGAAATCTGCATCCAATATATGTAAAATGACTTTAGAAAATAATTACTTGATCAGAATAAAACATTATTGGTATAACACGCAGTTACCTTGAAACAGCAGCAAGATAACCCATTTTTCCAGGTGCTGGAGCAAAATAGAACCTGAAGCAACAGGTGGAAATTCAATGTAAGCAATTGCACAACACAACAAACTGCACTCAGTTACCCCCCCCCCCCCTAAAAAAAATAAAAAAAATATTGCATCATCTCCCAAGGGTACACTTTTCCAAGAACAGGATACAAATAGGCAGGGATGCTACAATTAAGGAACCAATTTGACCACCACCACCCAGTATGTTCCCTGTGTTAATAGGAAATGTGCAGGTCCAGAAATACACAAATTCCCTCAGAGTCTAACAGACTCAACACTTTTATTTTCTAGTTACTCACCACACCAAGAGAAAGGTAGTAAGGTAATAGGCTGTGTTCAGTAGACCATATGACAGTACTCCAGAAGCTCCATATCTTTTCAACTGCTCCAATATTCTGTCAAGTTTGCACAATAATTAGTAATCAGCGAAAAAGTTATCCTACAGTAGTTTGTTCAGATGAGAGAATTTGGAGAGGAGAGTAGGGAATAATTTTTCTCTAGTGATGTTGGAGACTGGATAATGGAAGAGAAAAGGAATAGGAGTGTTCTATTTTCTCTCCCTCATTAGTGAACAAAACCCTTCCAAAGTTCAAAAAAAGTAGGAAGGAATATCTTCCCCTTCCCTCTTCTCTCTCTTATCCTCTCCTACAAATATGTAATTTAAATACACAGTATGTGAGAATCAAGAAAAATGGAATTGAAGTGCATACATTAAGCAAGTACAAATTGTGCATAACAGTAACAAACTCACTTCTAATATTTAGAAGCATAAAAGGAAAGCATAAACAGATTCATTCGATCACTGCACTGGAGCATGCTTCAGTTCCTCTGTTCACAAGAACAACCATTACACCTAGCTACACTACAGAATCTATAGCTGATAGAATCAGATGCACTAATGAAAGGATATTCAGACTTCATATCATTTCTTGACAGACTCAGGACTTTCACTCACACCTCATAGCTACACAGAAGTAACAAATTTTAGGCCGAGTGAATTCTCCTATATCAACCATATTTATGCATATGCACGAAAGTCAGCTACTTATAGCAATTGATGTCATAAATCTTATGATGACCTTTCATACCTCCTTGTAAATTTACTCACAAGTCACAGCACAACACTGAATACCTCAGGATGTTATGGTTTCTCATCAAAGCAAATATATAATTCATTTGGATTTAATGGTCATTCTAGTTAAAATACAGTCTATATAGATGATTATCTGAATAAAGGGAATCAAATTAAATGTTGGAGAAAAAAATTCAATAGAAAATGGTAACATAAGAAACACAATGTTGGAGGACTCCTGAACAAATAGAACTTTCACTTTCTAACAAATTTTGTTCACAATTTTTGTCGAGGTTGAACTATAATGGGCAGCTTCAAAAAGAGCAAGTGAGCAATACCACAGCAGTGCTGTTGTGACAATTTTTTGGTGTATTTGGTGGGGACAAAATTCCTGTATCTTTATTTGAGCTTTATCTTTTGAGTTGGTGTGAGACCAATTTATAATAATGCTCAAGGAGCACTAAAGCAATAACGGTCCTGCTGCGCGGCCTGCACCAGGTGCACTTCAGTGTGCCTCATTAAAATAAAAAATGACTGATTTGCAACTCTTGTGCGTGACTCAGGTGCACCTTGCCTATAGCAAAAAAAAACGTTCTACCTGAATTGCCTAGCACCTAGGTGTGCCAAGGCACACTTTTTATACTCTGTGTGAGACATAATAGCTTATCTAGGGTCTCTATGGACTATGACTGACTGAGGCTATTAAATAGTCATTCAATTGGGGAAGTTTGAAGAAACTGGCATGATCTGTAATCTGAAACATTGATCAAGGACAGTCTGTCCTCTTTCTGAATAATCAATTTTCATCTGTTAATATATTATATTTCTTATAACCAAAGAAAAGGTCATATGAGTTCAAACAAGGACTAATAAGCTTAATAAAGTTAAATAACTTCAGAAAAAAATTCTGATGCGATCTAATAAGTTAATTAAATTTTATCATTGGAATAAGTTCAAACAAGTTTGATCGTTTGTATGGGTTCAGGCTAAATAAGTTTTCATCAGAATTACTAAGTTCACTAAACAGAATAGCAGCGAGAAGAATGGCAAATACCATTTACCCAAGTAACTTTCTCAAGCTCACTTTTGGTAGCTCAAAGATGGCTGGTTCAGCAGTTTTATTTTTAGTTTTTAAGAACGGACTCGCAAGCTAAATTTAGAAGAAATGCGAAGCTAATCTTCACTTAGTAGCGCATTAAAATAAAGTTATTTTTCATAGATTCCAAGTATGTGAAATTCCTAATCCTAGAAGTGCAACACTGCAGTTTCACTCCAAACTAAAAAACGGCAAAAATTAGACAAAGAAACACCCAAACTAACCAGAAGAAAGGACATCATGGTTACACAAATGCAAACTTCCACTCCAAGTACTCATTCATCCTTATAGTTTCTAATGTCAGCTAGCTCAGCTAATAACGATGGTTCCAAATTCACCTCATTCATCAATACTTGTGCATAAAACTAGTCTTCAACTCTTCCATCAACAAAAATTCCATCGCAACACAAGAAATAGGGCCACCCAAAAGCCAAAACAATTTTCTTGGATCAGGAAAAGGCAATGACTCACAATTGAGGAGCCGTCCCCTGCCGAGCAGGTGGCCACGAGTCATTACACACTCTTTGCACAACAAATTCGCTTTGAAGTACTACATGGGGTGTTATGCTTAACTGCTGTAAATCTCCAAACAAAAACAAACCATACACAATATCACAATTAAGGGTTTTGGAAGACCTTCTTCTTCTTGAATGCCATAATCTTATAAGTGGGTTCGGCTACATGAACCAATATGAGGATTTCCCAGGAGGTCACCCATCCTAGTACTACTCTCAATCATTGAGGATTTCCCAGGAGGTCACCCATCCTAGTACTACTCTCCATCATTGAGGCTCATGTCAAGCGACGTGACAAAGTTTTACACTGGCTACCACAAGCCTACCGTAACCCTCCTCTTATCCAGGCTTGTGACAATTAAACTATTTTTATCCATTAATACATGTATAACATAATGACATTCAAGAAAACTAAAAATCCAATCACATCACCATGAATTACCACAATTTTATAAAAATGATACATACAAATAATTTCGAGGCAAGAGCTCACCGTAGTACCACCGTTATTAACTGAATGGAGTGTAAAATGGTGATGATAATTCCAAGAAAATTGTGATTAAGCTTGAGATGGGGTATTGCTGAATTTATAACCCAGTGACTCTGCATTATCATATTGCTAGTTTTTTTGCACACGACCCAATTATTCTGCAATTCAAACAGAATTTCAACATTTCCATAAACAAAAAATAAATAAAAATAAGGAAATGGGATATTCATAGAAAAAGAGATGAGTAAAATACCTTATTGTGAGGTGACGGCCACAATGAATTACAGCAGATTTTGTTCACTGAGAATGACATTGACATGGAACTGAATAAAGGGATTGATTTTTTTTTTTTTTTTTTTTTTTTTTTTTTTTTTTTTTTTGAGCAACAAGGGATTGATTGAGTATACAAAAACGATGATTTTCTTTCCGGTATATTGGATATATCTAATGACAAAATTGTATGTTAAGTAGCGGTTTTAGAGCAAAGACTTGCTTAATGCCCCGGTTCACTTCACCTTATTTTTGCTGCTGAATTAGAACTGAAATTAATTTTACTGAACTGAAATTATTTTGTTAAACTGAAATTATTTTTACTAATTTTCTATTATATTTCTTTTTTAAACTTATAAATTTTTATTAAAGTGAAATTATTTTTACTTTATTGAAATTTAAGGTGAATTGAACAGGGTCTAAGACGTAGGATGACATCATCAATTTTTAATTTTCTGGTCTTAAAACAAGACTTTTTTGTTTTTTTAATGCATTTAAGAAACTGAGTGCTACAAAAGCTGAAGTGAAGTCTTGAAGGGAGTCTTGAAAACTCAAAACTCAACTGAAGACTCAACCCTAAACTCTATACACAGTGTTTTTCCCTATATACGCATTAAAACATAACGTTTTGATAAATTAAAAAATTATTTGACTTTTTTATTTTTTGAATACATTAATAATTTGATTTTCATACAAAATGTGTATCTGCATTGTTTTATATTTTTTTGTGAAACCAATTGTAGGTTGTTAATATATACAATATATATATTTTTCCCCCTTCCCACTCACACCACGCGCACCACCTATGCATCGGCCGCTGACAGCAGCAGTGTAATACCCTGTATTTTTATATAGTTTATAAATTAAATTATTATTTTAAACGTATTTAAATAATTTGAAATGAATTATTTACGGTATGTTAATATTTAAAAAGGAGTATTCAAATTAAAAACCCATTTATTATTTATTTACATGGTTTGAAAATATTCTATTTTTATATTTATAAACTTTGGGGCATACTTAATTTATAAAGGAGTTTTAAAGTCAAAAGAATTTTAAATAAAGTCAAAAGACCAATTTGAGTGGAAGTGGGAATCATTAAAGGTAAAAAGGGAAAGTCAAGGGGGAAGAGGGTTTTAGAGAGGAGTATAAATACTCACCCTAACGCAAAAATCAGATTTTTGCCCAAGGTGATAATCCAAAGAGGTAAACTCTCTATCTTTCTTAGTTTTCCTCCTTAATTCCCTTCTCCCTCACCTCACACATGCCACCTACACACACACGGTGGCCGGCCACCACCACCATTGCCACCCACCGGCCGACCACCGTCACCTGCAACAACCGACATCAATCGCCGCCGACGTGGAGGGCCCTCCCCCGTGCGTGTATGCATGTGCAAGAAAGAAAAAAAAAAACTCTTCTTGTTTTAAATTAATTTGAATTTGATTAATTATTGTTGTGGGTGTTGTGTGATTATTTTAAGATGCTCTTAATGATGTTTAATATATATATAATTTTTAGATTTGGTTTTGTGTGAAAAAACCCCAAATTGATTAAACCCTAAATTTCTAATTTGATGTTATTGAAGAAATTTGATTGTGGTTGATTAATACAATTGAAATTAATCTTTCTAAACTAAATTACAGCAAGTTTAAGGGTTTTAATATTGCTTGAAATTTTATATAGAGGCTAAAATAATGTATTCTTGAAAGGATTTTAATTACCCATTAATTGAGAAGAAAAATAGGTGGTTCTACTTAAATTTCAGCATGTTTTAGAAGGTTTAAAAGTGTTTTAAGGAGTGTATATATTGCTGGAAATTTAATATGAATAGGTATTAATGTCTCTTTGTATTTGTGGGTTGTAGGAGACTTCCAAGTGAGTGATTTCGTGCAGTTATGGCGATTTTGAGATCATATTTGAGGTATGTTCGCGTACTCAGTAATAATTAAAGCGTGTAGAAGCATGCTAGGACTTGTGTAATTATTTCCAAGTTAGTATCATTTTAGGTATTGATTGGAATTGTTGGTTGGATTGATTTGATGATTGGTTTGTGAGACATGAATTATTTGAGATGAATTATTGATGGAATTCATAATGTTGGAATAATATATATGGACCACACTTTTATTATTGGTATGATTGAAGGCATGTTTAATTAAACTAAATGTTTAATTTGGTTTGGAATATAAAAAGGGAATTTTATTATGGTTGATATAATTATTATTAATGCTATAAGCATGGGGGTTGAGCTAGTTAAGTGTCTTAGTACATGAGGATTAATTTATATTTCGGTGCCCACGCGCACTTAAGGTGTTTATACACCAAGGGATAGAATTTGTGGTGCCTACGCGCACTGAAGGTGTTTTTACACTGAGGTAGTTTAAAAAGGGTTCGACACTAAGTTAAATGTGGTCACTAAATATTCAAGAATTAAATTGGTATGTTTGATTGCTTGAATGAATTATATATGTTGGTTGTTTTATGATTTGAGAGTCATCACCAAGTTTAAATGTGTAAATAACGTAAAGTGAAAGATACCACGTACCAAAACTCTTGAAACGTATATACCTTGAGTATGAACATATAAGGGGAGTTATGTGACTTTATATTTGATCATAACTTCTACTGGGAGTATAGGATGCTGTATTTTCCTTTTTATTATGTGTAGGAATTCACCACTTACGAGTGATTCTTTTATATTGGCACGATCAGCTCCCGTGTTAGTACCCCTCTATTGGGGCAGGTTAGGGGGGAAACCCGTTTGATGCGTAATCAAATTAAATAAGCAATTATACTTGCCTATTGTATGAGTTGTATGTTGTATGCTTGGAAATAGGTGCAAGAAGGTAAGTTGTGTGATGCTAGGATGTAAGCATGTTAGTGTGACTCATTTACGCTTATGTACTTAGCATTGTTGATTGTGTGTTGTATGTTTGTTTGGCCTTGTCTTTATCTTGGCCCTACGACGACGCATTTCTAATGGCGAGTAGTGGGGAGAAAGTAAAGAGAAGCCTTTCAGGTGATGAAGCATATTCTTGATGGGCATGAGTGAAGAGCGAATCTTGTTTAGAATTTGTCAGATAATATAAAACTCCTTGATTAGTGTGATTTCCATTAATCAATATCTATAACGTATATATCTAGGATGAAAATATTCTATGGATATTCTCTATCAATTTCTATAAGACTATAATATGTTTTATGTGTTTTAATTATTATATATTTGCTTATGAGACTAACGCAATGTTTTAAATATCCGGTTTGAGTTTTTAAAGGGCCTGCAATGGTTCCAAGTTGTAGGTTGGCTTCGTTTGACTTTGGTTTGAATTTACTTTTGTTTGGTTTGACCTTTAAAGTTGGTTTGTTTTGAATGATTTTGAAATGAGCCTTCCGCTGTGTGTCTTTGATATTTGTCTTAGTCGTTATCACGGTGGCAATAATGTCTTAGAATTTCCTATTTTGTATTTTAAAAAGGGCAAAACAGGTATTTTTAAAAGGGAAGGAATTTCTAGGGTGTTCTCCAAGTCCGTAAGAAAAGAATCCCCATTGATGAACTCTTCTTCTGTATTCTATGCATATTCTAGGTTTAGGTTAGAACCAACTCCATTTGTGAAAGTTTGGAGGCTTTTATTAGTTGTTTCATAATTTTGAACAAAAAATGATTTATTAATAAATACATGCACAATGTCACAATAATTGTCATTTCTTTGTGTACATCATATTGAATGTGATAATTCTACTTTAAAATTACTTGTACAATAGATCATCTCTTGAAATTCTACACTAAAAATTGATATAAAATACAGTATGCAACAGCATCATATCGCCTCTACTATTAAACAACAATAATAAAAGGCATAATGTGACAATGGCATTAAACATAATTTGAGCTATACAAGTTTTATCGATCTATTAATCACATGATGCAACTAATTTACGTATTTAATCTCGTATAATCATGCCCAAACATGACCCCACCCGGTCTTAGTAATTTTTATTCGATCAAGCCGACTGAAAATCTCAGTCATTCGTGAAGGGGAAAGGATAAAAATGGTATAAGAAAGGAAATGAAGGAAAATAGCAAACAATTCCCATTTATATCACATGTTTTTTTTGGATATATTTTTCTAAAAACCATCATTTTATCTTCTTTGTCACTGACAGATCCCTTCTTCCTCCTCCTTCTATCGTCACCTTCCTCTCTTCACATTCGCACAAACAACCTTCGCACCGTTATTGGTGGGGAAGAATTACATTGAGCCTCAAATGGGACAGAAATACAGGGTGGAAGTGATAGGCTAAAGTCGTATCACCTAATCAAAAGTAATTCCTAAAACCACTAACTAATATAGATAGGGAAGTAGGGTCGAATCCACTGAGAAACAAGTCTTTCTATTCCTAATTAATTAATATAATCTAAATTATCAAGTAACCAAATTGTTTTTGTGAGAATTAAACTAATAACTAAACTAAAGCAAATTAAATAAGGGAGGAAAACAATAATAAAAGGTCTAGGGTATAGGTTCACCAATAAATAATATTACAGGGTAAAACATAATAATCAATCATCAATGCATAGATTAATCAGATCATAAAGGGCTTTCGCTACGTATTACGATCACAGAATTAATCTACCGGCATTAAATCGCATCTCTCGAATCTTGACTTAACCATTTATAAATTAACCTGCCTATTGAAACTAAGCCTAAACATCAATTCTCATCTCTCGAATCTCGAATCAATATTGCATAATCATACAATTAAACCTGTGCAAACCTAATTGTATAGCATTAAATCAATCAATAGGAAATCAACCAAAACATTGACAATCAACAATAATAAATTACCACGTCATATTAATTATGGATCCCCACAACCCTAAAAATAAAACTACTCGCACATTTTAAAACCTAAACTAAGCAAGGCAATTAAAGAAAGCATAATTAAATCAAATCAATTAAATTACTGAAAGTAAAGAGGGAAGAAATCGTTACCAAAATAGACAGAAGTAAAGAATTGCATAAACTAAAAGTGTCGAGAGGGATCAAGAGTATTAACTAAAAGCTTAAAACTAAAAACTAAGAAATTAAACTAATGAGAAAAGTAAAGAGAGAGAGAGAGAGAGAGAAAAGAAGGTCCCCAAACTCGCTTAACAAGAGCGTATTTATATTAAACTAAGAAAACCTAAGCTAAAATGAAGATTAAACTGCTAAACAAACTCAGAAACACGGGCCCAGTCGGGCGCCATCTCGCCCTGCCG